TGTAAGAATGGAAGCCAAATAGAAATGTCCTGAGCAACAAAGGTTCTTCTATTTTTTTTTCTGCTGCTGCTGCTGTTGATCCTTTCCATTCACAGTACACTTTTTTATATGGTTGATCCAGTTCCCTTTTTAATCCTTCATGTCCCTTACCACGGTTATCTTTTGTGGGAGAATCGAACTGATTAAAAAGAGTACCATTCAAAAAGCCGTGCGCACAGTTCTTAAGTACTTTTCTTGAAGACGTTAAGAAGAATTCGGTAAGGCCAGATGCTCTGGATTTAGTTTCAATGAATGAAAGAGAGAAGCAATTTAAAGATTTCCGTTGTTCCGAAGATTTTCATTAAATTACACTATTGTTCAATTGGAATCATTAAAAAGTTCTAAAGAAAGTTCTAGTAGAAACGAATATAATTCATTCTTAAAGCGATTTGTTCGAAAATGGAAACCAAGAAAAACAGTTCGTTTTACTTTAAAAAAAATCATGATTTTATTATTTTTCCATTATTTATTCGTAGAATTAATTTAATTTATTTGTATTTAATCATTCAAATTTTTTGGACGTTTTTAAATTATTTTAATGATTATAAATGTCATTATGATTGAATTAAAAATCGATTAATCAAAACTGCTATAATTTTGATTGTTCTTATATCATAAATTACTTTTGTCTCTTGTACAGAATGACCTGAATTCGTTTGTAACGAAAAACGTGATGGATGTTCGGTTTTGGAATGCATGAAATAATCATTGGTTCTGTGTGGGTCCGAGGTTCCGGTTTAAAAGCTTAATGAGTTTGTCGAAAGGTACAAGCCTTCGCCGATAAAGATCTGTAATCCCCGTCGAGGTGGCGAGCGCGACAAATTTAAGTACCTCTTAAAAGCCCACCAAAAAGGTACCAGAAAGATTGGTTTCGTGTGGTCCATCCGAAGATCGGGAACCACGATTAACAGACGACGTCCAACAAAAACAAACAAAACGAAGTTCCTTTCCAATCTATCTACTAGCCGCTACCGGATTTTATTGGTTGTAGTAAAAGTCCCCGAGGCACCAGACCCGACCACCTCCACATCATCGACCATCTCCACCATCCAGACGATCGGAGATTCAGATAAAAACCCATAATAAAACCTTAAGTAATCCGCATTAACGCTGCGCTTCGCATTTGTCTCCCAGTCTAGTTGCACGGTGGCAATTGAATAAAGAGGATTGATTCAATTTCTTTACTGCTTCTGTGGCAGATGCTGCAATTCACGTTGGTTGAGTCAAAGAGGAGTCTGGGGCGGTTCGTGCCGGAATTTATTGCATATCCTTCCGAGCGGTGACAGGACGATGGGGATAATGGTAAAAGTGCCAAGGACAATAGTCCAGAAATTGGGCGTGATATATACGTAAAATTTGACCATTGTCGCCAATTTTCTTACCTTCCATATTCCATTCACCTTCGAGAACGACCAGAAAATTCCCCACAAACATACACACAATCATTAATTATGTATTTCTTATTCTGCGAATCGAAGAAACCCGGACGATTCTGTTCTTTCCACACCGCAACAATTTATAGCACACGCCCTCTTCGATAACAATGTCTTTGTCGACCCCAAACCTCATGTGGAACAATTTATCATCCAGAATATGTGACTCAGTTCTACACACACACACAAAAATAACATTCACCTGGTAAACAAAATTCTTGAACTTAAAACTATTCTGTTTCGTTTCCAACATAAAAATTATACATTTTTATGTTGGACACGATCTAGAATATTCTAGAACCATACGTGGTAATAAAATATATTCCTGAATTTTCTTCTGAAAGATGTAATTATTTATAATTTTTAAATATTTTATGATAATAATAATAGTATAATCAAGAAATTCGTCTTAACAAATAATTTAAAAAAAATATATTCATATACTAATTAAAAATTCTTTGTTTTAAAAGGTTTTTTTTTTAAATATTTAACTGTTGGCGCCACCAGTAATTTACACTTTGGATAATTTTCTCGAATTATTCTCGAAAAACTACGTTTTTTATTATTCTTTGAAGAGCTACAATAAACTAAATATAGACAATCCAATTGACACACTTCAGCCATTATCACCAATTTTTATTTTTATTTTTCAAAAGACTTAAAATTCTTAAAAATAATCCATTATTTTTATGAGGAATTCCATTTGGACACTCAAAGTATTTCGGTGAAATCACTAATGCATTCTCCAGGGCTTTTATTGGTGTTCCGTTTTATCTAAAAAATGCTCTCTCAAAGAGATGTAAAACAAAAGATGTTGGCTTTTAACTTTTACTTTCACGAAAACGAAATCCAATTCGATATGAATTAGTTATAGTCAATCATTAGTTCATCCTTTTGTGACTCATCGTACATCCTTTTAAAGGTTTATATTATTATGTAATCTTCTTCAACATTTCTGTTTGAGAAATATAAATTGAAAGTGTAACAAACTTTATAAACAATATTTTTCATAATTCGAGAATTCTTAAATTGAGAAGTAAAGTCATGAAACGTAAAATTCATAAACTGCTCAGACAACATAAAACCTAGCCACCTCTTTATGTGTACTACAGACTAAACACTATGAAATATTGAATAATTAAGTAATTTACACATTCAGTACTGAAGAACCAATTACTTTTTCATTTAGCAACATTTCATAATATTTAAAGACAACTGCACTTTGTCGTACTTGTCAAGTGTCAATTACTGTCGTAAGATACTTGAACGATTACGTGATCAAGTAATAAAATATACGTACATACGTACATCATTTTTAAAACGTGTGTACACATATTATGTGTATTTTTTGAATATGTTTCACTATACGAGTAAACATCCGGAAATCTTGGAACGGATTAAACTCGTTAAGCGAGGTTCCACTGTACTTGATAAGTCACTTAGCAACAACTCCTAAAGTCAACAACAAACTATATCATACTTGTCAAGTAACTTGTTAAGTTATATATAATGAATGTCAATGGCTATCTTATACTTCCCACGATTCTTGCCAATTACTTCTGTAAGTTACATAATCAAATACGTAATAAGTTACTTACCAACATCTCACGATTTAATACTATGTGAAGCTAGTCAAGTATATTGTGCGTTTTGTAGAAGCCCTTTCAGAGGGAAGAAAAAAAAACTTGCGCGTTTATCATGTATACTTACAGGCAATTTCTAGTTCAAGTTCTAGTTTCAAGCAACTAAAACGATAATCCAGATAATTTATTTGGATCCTCTTGGTTCAATCTTCGGACAACCTTTTAAATCAAAGTGTACCATTTGCAGCCAGAGAAAAGAATACACAAAAATAAATCTCGTTTCGTTGTGTGTTTGTTTTACATTTCGGGGCTCGAATCTCCAGCGTCGTGCACCCGCTGTCTTACATAATGGACTCGACGTGAGGTCAAATCGTTGGAAATTTATGGGCCCGGCTTACAGTATTTTAATTAACATTTTACAATCGAAATGAATCTATCGTAATGTCGTTTACATCCATTTATTTATTTCTATTTATTTACTTCAACGCAAGATAGAGAAACAAATAGACCGTACTGCACGTCGAGGGGCTTTATGGATGTTTTACTGCAACGACAATAAAAGTTTAATGAACGGTCATAAACCTTCCGGAGACGCAAAGTTATCTCAATGGTTTCCGGATGGAACATTTCTAGGTTTCTTTTCTTTTCGTTCCTTCAGACGCTTCATTTTTATTTTCAGCAAAACAATTGACTCATTCATTTTTTATGTCTTTTATTTTTTTGTTTGTTGTTGAATCTATATCTTGGAGACAAAGTGTAAAATTTGGATTATATAATATCTAGGCACTCTATAGAATTCCTAAAATTTAAAATTATTATATTTGTTATAACACTCACAACAAATAAATTTAAAATATCGAAAAATTATAAATAACAGTTAATTATGAACATTTTTATAATAACTGACAAAAAATAATAAATCTCAATTATTAATTTGTATTGCTTACACATTTTTGTATGTAACAATGCAAGAATTAATCAATATATTCTAATTATATAAAATATGAAATACTGATTTTTTCATTTAACTTATATATATTTGTTTTACACTTTCATTCGGTTATATACTAATTATCTTATGTTATCCATATAAATTATTTCAGTTTGATTACAAATTTGTATTACAAGAACTTTATCTTGTGTAGACGATGTATATTTTTTCATTAACTCATGATAACATTTATCTTAGAACGTTACATAATCTTTGAAGATTTCAATTTCAATTAAAAAAGAAACCAAGAAATGTTTGTTTTTATCGTAGATTTTTGTATAGAAAAATATTATCAATCATAGATTATAAATTTAATGTTGCATTGAAACACATTAATTTAGAATTATTTGATTTACAACCAAAAACAAATGTTATATGTCACACATTTAAAAAAATATATTTCTTCAAATAAAATTGATTTACACATCAAAACATAAATTACTTTTACTGATATTCTATTACTTCCACCACACACAACATATTTAGTTTGTATGTGCTAGCATAGGCTTCCCATTATACACGTTAATCCATTCTATAAAATAAATAATATTAAATAAATTAGTAGAAAATTTGAATCACTTATCTTCTTGGTTGTAACATTAACTCTTATATAAACCTAAATATTAAATTAAACATTTTCTTATAAAGATTTTTTATAGATTACGTAATAATTCGTTTGTCCACCCCTGAATTCAGATACTTCCCGTTATACACTTTAATCCAGTTGAGCTGGTTTTATAATGTTTAAAAGTTTAAAACTTTTTGCTTAGGCAATTTGCATTATTTTGAATTGCGTAGAATTCTATAATTTAAGTGATTACATAACAGTTTTTTCATTAAGAAATATTATTGATGCGATTTTCTTTTGTAAATTACTTATATCAATATATTATTAATCTGTAAATGATCTTTAAAATATTTGAAGTAAATATGAAATAAATCAGGTAATTTGCGTTAAGATTAAATATGTAACTTTATTACGTACATTGTAAATTGAAATAAAAAACAAAACAAGATATAAATTAAGACTTTCTCCGCTTTAAGACGAAAACTTCATAACAAAGAATCCAATGATAATAGAGACAAGAACGGATGAATTCAAATTGGTTGCAGCATTGCATTTATCCGTTTTGCAAACATTGCAGCTCTTCATTTTCAATGAATCGTCGTTAATCTCAGCCTTGATAAACTCGCAAGCATCCTTGATGGAAGAATTCAACTTCACACAGGTCCTGTCTAAGGTTATAGACCCATCGCTGTTGGTCCACTTGACTTTGATGCAGTTGTAGAATTCGTTCAGAGTTCTAGTCTTCTTCTCGTTATTGAAGACGCTCTTCAGCACGGAATTGCTGTAGGCAGGCTTCTTGGAGACGGCGCTCCTCGACACATCGTTTCCACTATCGTAATCCAAAGTCGAACAATCTGTGATTTCAATGTTGTTCGGGCTGAAAGTATCTTCGCATCCAGGATCATCACTATCGCAAATGTAGCAGCTGAGTTGAGTCGGCCCAGTGGATAATTCCTGATCTTGTCCATCTAATAAAATATTCAATACAATTAAAGCTAAGATCAAGACTGTACACGTAATGGGTTAATTGATCAAAAATTTTCCATCGTTTATAAATAAAATTAATTACATGTTTTGCAATGATAAGATATTGGGCAAATAACTGTTGCATAACATTGCACATAATAAGCCAAAACTAATAACATTATTATCTGATAAAATCGAGATAAACGAATCAATTATTGAAAAATCACACTGTTTAGTGAAACTAATAAGCAACACCTTGAAATTTTATTGATTAGTAATAATTATTGCATGTTTTACATAATAAGCCAAAATGAATAACATTATAATCAGATTAAATTTAGCAATGAATTCTTGAATTATCAATGTTAGAAAATAACTAATGAAAAGTAAAATCTTAATAAGGTATAATAAAATACTAAATGAAATTAATGACTACTTACGGATTCCGCAACTGACGAACGCCACAATTGCAACGAAATGCAACAAAATGCAGTTCATCTTGATGTTTTCTCACTTTAAGATCAACTGAAACGATGTAGTCAACGAATACCTATCTTCTGGATAGTTTCGATGCTTACGAATTGTATAAATATCCGTTAAAGCTAACGCTATATCTGTTTAAATCGTACTTATCAAAAATCGATAAGCTTAGCTATCGATGGATGAGATCATTCTTGACATATATTTACAATAATAAATTCAATATTTACTTATTAATCGTATCCGTTAAAAAAAATGATTCATGTTTAGTAAAAAGGGGAATTTCCAGTACATTTTAATTCGCTAAACTTATACAAATATAATAAAACATATATTTTGTGGAGAAAATACGAAATAAATCTAATTATATTTGTTCGAAGTTTTCAATTTATTTGCTTATCAATTTACGAAAATAAAAATTTCCTTGTGTTAAAATAGACGAAACAAAGTTATTTATTGACTAGTTTAAACAGTAAACAAAACACAAACCTACAGTTACGTAATTACACATATTCAATTTGTCAAAGAAAATGCTCTAATTAAACCTATTAATTAACAAAAAATGAGTATTTGCTGAATCCCAAATCAATCATTAAATTTCCAATTTAATTCAGGATTTATTTGTACTTAGCATAAAATTATACAAAAACTAATTGAAATAAGTTAAATTCTTAAAACTAGCATTTGGTACATAACTAAATTGAATGTAATGTTTATAGTTTACAATTAAATCACATTTTCAGAGTTTAAATAACATGCATATTCTATTTAACAAAGTATACTTTGAAGATGAGATCCATCAATATTCCTAGATGATTTAAACGTGTTAAATCGATGCTTTATCCGGTGTGTTCTGTCTGCTCCTCAAGTTATACCGTTTCAGTTCAATGACGTTCTTTGGTTTATAAACACTTTCCGTGTTTTTAGTCGTATAATAATTTTCGGTTGAATTATTGAAATTCGTTTGTACGTAGGAACATGCTGAGGTGGTTATGCTTCTATTCGAGAACTTGTCTAAATAGTCATTAACAACGTTTAGAGCATCCTCAGATCTGTAACAATTATTTAGAAACTTATCGCTATTAATGGATGTGTCTACCAAGCGATTGTTTAATTTGCTTGTATCGCTTGAAACACAATCCAAGATCTTTAACATATTGCTATCTAACTTCACCAATAAAGTGTTATTCTCCACGTTATAATCCTTAAACTTGTAAATACTCACAGTGAGTATAATCATGGATACAAAAATGTACAAGTACCTAAAATACCAGACGTAGGAATAGTAATCTGTTTGCGTTTGAATGATGTCACTTATAAATGTTCTATAGAACACATTAATACAAGACCGTTCAGTAATTATGCTAATAACAACCAAACCCAACAGCGGAAATTTAGCATTAGATGTGCGATTGCTGGATGTGAAAATCGTCGCCACGATCAAGGCAGTCACGTAAAAAACAATAGAATCCCACCAGGACACCTCGCCAAACAGCCAAGACTGCAACCCATTCAAACTATTGCTCATGACCAACAGAAGCTCCTGATGTTTCCTAGCTGAATCCAAGAAAGTTCCCATGATATTTTCCAAATCCTTTCCATAATCAATCAGCTTCTTTTGCATTTCCAAACTCTCTCTTTGACCCAATAGCAAATCCATCTGATTCCTTGCTGAAAGCTCCAATTGTTTACCAACTTTCTGAGTGTTCTCTGAGATTGTTTCATGCCAAATTTGACCCCTCAGAAACCAGCACATGTTTTGTGTGTGCGAGTAGAACTCTGTGTACACATTGAATGCCCTATCAGACATGCTGTTGATGCATATTGCTCTGACATTTGGTTTCTTGCTCAGCTCACAGTCGTAAGTTTTATGTCCAGACATTTCCAAGAAACAATTGGTTAGATGCAAGGATATTTCACTTTGAGTCTCTTCTGATAATTGTCTGCAGCCCTCATCAATATGCTCCACAGCCTGCTTCCAGCACAGTCCAAATTTTGGAAGAGCTCCCCTTTCTTGTAACAACTAAAAATAAGCGATATTTTAAATTTGTTAACTTATGATTTATATAATCATACCTGATACTGTATCTTCCCTTGCTCCAGCATTTCATTGGAATGTTCGCTTTTTGCTAGGATCTCTTCAAACGCAAAAACCAAGCAAATGCTAATAGAAAATTGTAGTAACCTAAACATTTTAAGTTATAAAAGTGTATAGTTTTCGTTGGAATACTACACACAACCACTTGTTTACTTTTTGAACCTATGTAACTGACATTGTATCCGTTGTTTTTACACCCATGCCTTTGAACTATATGCAACCAAAAGATCATGTATTGTAGATTCAATTATTGGATTATCCATAAAATAAATTTATAAACCAACTGTATATAGATTGTTTCATGATATTCCTGAAAAGTACATAGTTTAAATTTATAAATTATTAAACATTTATGAAAAATTGTTTAGGTATCTATAGATGGCAGTACAATCGTAGCAGCACCATCGACCTGTATCTACCAGGACTGCTGTCATCTGATTACATCAGTTGGAAAAATGGCGTTCGGCGATTATCCTGCTGACTACAATCCAAAAGTCCACGGACCTTATGATCCGGCCCGTTTTTACGGAAAACGTAAGTACAAAGCCAGATCAATAAGAATCGCAAAAATGTTCATATATTCCAAGAACTTCAATCCTATAGGAATCGATCAATACTTTGCACATGCTCATACACCCTATCATCATATTATATAATCGAATTCGATTCCAATCAGTAAATTTTTCCTTCACGAATTTCAGCGGACACCCCTTTTGGCCAGGTGAAACTGAACCAATTGGGAGAATGGTTCGGCCGTAGGAACAAGACCCCATCTGCCATTGCAGGCACCTTCAGCCGTGCCTACTGGAGATGGCAACACAAGTACTTGCAACCGAAGAGGGCTGGAATTGCTCCATTCTTTCAATTCATCACTGCATCCATGGTCTTCTTCTATGCCATCAACTATTCCAAATTGAGTGAGTTACATAATCATCTGAGGCTTACTCTGGTATATATAACCAACAATTTTTGATTTTTCAGAGAAGCACAGGAACTACAAATACCACTAATCTACTGGAAAAGGTTAACTAAATTCTCTGTAGTTACAAGTTCTAGTACAGAATACATATTTGAATGAAGTAAAACACTGTCTGTTGCTAAATAAAGTAATCCAAAACACATTTAATTCTAATAAAATATAACAATTCAATAGTAACTGTTGGTGGGATTATTCCAAAAATATGGATTGGTCCTCTGCTGGTAACAGAAGTTCCTCCTGTATCTCCGCCAACTCGTTAAACACAAGTTCGTTTCCTATATTCGATCCTGATTCATATAACACAACTTCTAAAACGTCAACACCTGCGTATCTGCAAATTACCTCTTGTAAATTATTATGTTAACAGCTATGATATGTTCTTACATGACTTCTGCCTGCAAAGGTTTAGAAAGATAATTGGTTTCCATGTATCTTCTACACCATTCATTTGGCATTGTCTTTAATGGTTTAATGTAAGCCAAGTTACATTTCACTGCCTATTGAAAATTAATAGTGAATTATATAAAAGTATTTTTTGTTGTGTAATTGGTTCAAAGTAATAATTTAAGAGCACAATTTACGTAATAAGATTATGAATTACCTGAAACGGTAAGTACATGAATTCTTCAAGCATCACTCGAATACTGCTTAATGCGACTTCCATCACGTCCCCAAAATCAACAAAGAAAACCTAAAAAGTATTGTAATTTGATAATTACAGTAAATCAATGGCAACAAACACTAAAGAGCAATAGTTACCAGGATTTGCGGTTGCAAAGTATTGGTCACCGAATCCACGGATTTTACGAAACATCTATACCATTTATTGTTCCAATACTTGGCCAAAACTATTTCTCCACTTGCCGGGAGTATATCGAACTTTTCGTACGTTTTTATTCTGTCAGGATCATTCATATCCATAATTAAATGTTTTAATCTATCCGCTGAAAATATAAGAATATAGTTAGGAATATAAATTAATTTGATCTTAAATAGTAATTGTAGTGTTACCATTATCATTCTGTCGTCGGAGATGTGCGTAAAAAGTTTTCAGAGATACAATATAAGTGATTTTAATGTCAACAGTTTCGCCGACTCTCGGAAACTGAAGAGACTCTACTTCACCTGTGAAAACCTTCCTTTTGTCCGTAGTAATTCCATCTGAAAATAATACGAATAGTTATTTCGTTCAAACGCCTAAATAAAAATACCTTTTCGCATTTCGGTGTGCTCCAAATTACAGTCAACTTTAAAACAACGTCCGTTACTTGTGAACCTACAAATCCTCTTCTCGTCTGTGGCTTCGTAGCCTGTAACTGCTTTTTCCATAGAGTCGAAGTCCTCGACATTAATTTCATCGTTACCTAGAACGAAAACAATTTACCAATAAGCTCATAAAAGAAACGGATTATCCACTTTGAGCTTTTTCGATCTGTTTGCGAATGAAACTAGACTGAACCCCGTTGGTAACAAGTTTCGACGGAGGGATTATCTCAACAGCTAATTTAAAATTCAACATTCTCTGGCCCAAAGAATCATCCGACCTATTTTCGCTCTCAATAAGATCAATCCCATAGGAATCTCTAAAAATTGAACAACTAAGAAAATGATCAATAACGGATAAATAAATTTACCCTATCTTTTCTACATAAGTCAGAAGGTACATTTTGTTAGTGGACGCCTTTTCCAATACAGCAAAGGATTTCTTTGGCCACTTTGTCAGTAGATTAGTGGGTGTTGAGCCTGGAGGATACAGCTGAAGCAAATTGAATTAAAACTCATGAAAATAGTTAACAGAAACTAGTTACATAAGCGAAATGACATTTCACTGCCAGCCTAGGATACTTGTAGAATGTTAATGGCAATGGTTGGATATATGCACAATGGATCTGCTTCAACTCGCCATAATCAATTAACATGATGCTAACCATATCTCCCTTATACATCTGCAACAATTTAGTTGATGAATTGTTGTAAAAGGGCAATAGTTAAACAAACACACATCAAGCCAATCAATAACTTCAGCACGATACCAACTTTTCCAGCTCTCACAATATGCCATGCAATACTTGTTAATCTTATCACGAGCATCATGTTTGCTACAAAATTTCTTAGCATTTGAATTACCAAGTTCAGTCAACTGCATTGCCAATCTGAAATGCATTGGATTAAAAGTGATAAAACAGAAAATTTTGTAGATCTTACGAATCAATAATGGAAGTTTCATCATTACACAAATTAATGTAAAAGTGTGATGGGCTAGAGTAAATGCTCAAAAGGCATTGGTCATTGCAATTTGGGGCTGTAGCATTTTTAATTTCTAAAAATTGAAAAAAATGTCTAAAAAATAGAAATTCTCAATGGCTCAATTAATTATACCTCTAATACATGATTGTTCAACATTCTTTAATTCATTCATATGAAGATTACTCATCAAGTCACTGTCCACAGATGTGGAATTGCTATTAACTCCCTTCAGCATTAAATCTGGTATCAATGTGAGTTTCTTTTGCTGCACCCTTGTTTTCTTCATAAATTTGGCTTCATCAATTTTCTTCTTAATAGAAACGTCCTGAGTATTTACTGGGGCAGATTTGTAGTCAAGAGCAAGCACTGTACTATCTGATGGTACATCATCATCCTCAAAATACAATTCCAGCTCAACATTCATGGAGAGAACTTTCTGAATATTATTGGATACATCCTGATATACTTTCAGGAAACAGTTTTTGTTCTTCATCAGCTCATCCGCTCCCATGCATGTTATTTCTTGGACGGCATCCGAATTCTTAAAAAATTCTTCAATTGAACGACACGAATCTTTAAAAAGTTGTACTCACCTTTTGGAGAAGGACATGTATAAGACGAATCAATGTTGAACACTCCAATTCCAATTTGTTGTAGTTCGAAACCAGTTGGGATTTGCGTTTCTCCATCGTGCTATCACCGTTTTCAAACTGTTATTTTTGGAATACTAACGCATATTTATATTTGGAAAGTAAATAAATATGCTTTTTCGATCTGGCAATAAAAAAATGTTTTCCAAAGAATCTTCTTTGCTTCTTTGTGACCGTCCAATCTTCTTATTGGACAGTTTGAAATTAATTTGCACGAAGAGACCTAGATGGAGTTTCTAGTATTATTCAAACTAGAATAGAACAAATATTTGCTTCTTTGTATTATTGCAATATATACAAAGAAGATACACATATTAATCATTAGCCTTAAGTACAAATCTATGCAGTTTCAGGACAGAAATATTAATTTTTACCAAATTTTACACACGTTACTTTTTTAATACAAACTTTGCAATTCTTCTCTCCACCAACGACGACTTTTGTCGAGTAAGCATTGATATGAAATGGCTTATTCATTACTATACGAGACAAAATATAATAGGCACAGAATGTAGACGTTATATAAAATTTGTACATATTTTGTGTATATAAATAAGTCGGTGTAACTAATACTTATATTTATTACATAAAAAAATATAGGCTCTTCAATAACAACACATAAATTATTGAAGATACAAATTGAAAATTATGCCTCTGATAAAATAATTAATTAAAAATATAATTAAAATAATCTGGGTATTAATATAATACACCTAGGTATATATTAATATAATATGGATTTCAACAGGATTGTCCTGCATTTCAGTATTTTTCCTCCTGTTTTGTATTGGTTTCATTATCCTTTTTCGTTTCTGTTTCATTTTTGGAAGTCATATGATCCCTCCAATGTTTTCCATAGTTGATCTTGGCTTGGATCTCATCGAAATTCTTGCCTTTCGTCTCTGGCAAGAAGAAGAGAACAAAGAGAGCGCCGGCTATGCAGAATCCTGCGAAGATCCAGAAGATGGTATAGAAACCCCAAGCCTGTTTGATCGGCTCGAAGATCTTCGTGACAATAAAAGCAAGTAGAAAACCATAGAAAGTGGCGGTTGTAACGGCAATTCCCTTGATGTTAGTTGGGAAAAGCTCACCGAGCAGTACGTAAGGTAGATTTAAGACTCCAAAGGTACTAGAAACCAAGAACAGTACTATACCCGTTGTTGGGAGCCAGGATAGCGCTGTGACATCCTCCATGAGGTAGTTTTGTAGGAAAAAGTAGACACCCTCACCAATAAGGGCAAGAGCGCAAATCAAAGCGGAAATGAGAAGCATAGGTTTCCTTCCCATTTTATCGACCACAAGTGATGACAAAATTGCTGAAAATAATGAAAAATTAATTAATTTCTGTTTTCACTATTTGATGAAATATAGTTACTTGCTGGGAATTGGACGGCTCCGAAGATGATACTAGACATTTCCGATGAAATGCTGCTCCCAGTACTTTCGATAATGTGTTGCATGTAACCCTCGATTGCGGCGTTTCCGGCCATCTGCTGCAACGTCTTCACGCCGAATATGATGAAAATGATCTTCCTGTACTCCTTCTTCGTGATAAATTCCTTGAAGCTCATTTTGTTTTCCATGTCGGATTTAACGATGTCGCTGATCTTCAGCAGCTTCTTCTCGATTTCGGCATCTTCCATATTCTGCGGTGATAATCTGCAGAGGACGGATTTGGCCTCTTCCATTTTCCCGCAACGCACAAGATAAAAGGGAGATTCAGGCATGAAGTAGAATACAACCATGAATATGACTGGAACAACAGCGCAAATGGCACCCAACGCTTGGTAGGATATGAAGGGTCCAGCACCGAGTACCAGCATGTTACCAACGAGTTTCATCAAATTAAAACTGGTTCCCAATTTACCGCGGATATCGCTGTCTGCTATTTCTCCATTGTAAATCGAACATCCCTGAAAATAAATTACGATATTCACTTCCGTTCTAGAAATCTTATCTAAAGGATTAAGCTTACGTTCACTACAAATCCGTAGCCGCATCCTCCGAGGAACCGTCCTAGAAAGACCATCCAGGATTTCGTGGCGAAGATGATGATGAACCAAGGGAAAAAGAGAAAAAATCCACCTAGCATTAAGGTCCATTTGCGTCCAATCTTATCCAAAAGGTAAGCCACCAAAGGTGATATAGGCAATCCGGCGAGTAAATATATCGATTTCAACCAAGATAATTCTTCCTAAAATAACAATTAAATTGATCTGTTGATTTAAAAGAGAAAAGCAACTTACGCCAACAATAGGGTCTTCCAATGATGATTCTCCAGGTTGAAGACTTTTATCTGCTGGTGATGACCACGAAATGTACATGGATCCAGCGGATATGGATATAGTCGCTGTAATATATGTCAAAGTTAATGGTGATGTTAAAGCTACTATCATTCAATTGATTACCTGCCAATGCAGCGACGTACTGCATGTACCTGGTGTTTTTGATTTGGAAACCCATGGCGAAGATCACCGAATGAGCATGAAACTACCGTCCAACTAACATTTATATGGTTTCAGGAGAATTGATTAGATTAGTGTAAGATAATCGAGTCCCAAAAAGAAATGTGTATAGCTATTAGCATACGTTGAGTGCAAATTGATAAAGGATAGAGATCTCCTATAAATTAGATAATGAATGAATGAGATTACAGTGCATGATTGACAAAACGCTGATGAGAAGCAAACAATATAAAAAAAAGTAGGCAAACAGTAGGATTTATTGATTGTCATCAGATTTTTTTTTCAGTTTACGCTGGATCTCCTCAAAGCTTTTTCTTTTGGTCTCGGGCACCTGCATCCTGTGATGCATCCTAAGGTGAAGGTGAAGATCCAGAATATCGTGTAGTAACCCCAAGCGACGCTGATCGGGCTGAAGATCTTGGACATGGCAAAGGCCAGAATACCGCTATAGCAAGTTCCTGATGTCACAGCCACACCTTTGATGTTAATAGCCCATCAGCAGGTATGGAACTTCTATCAAACCGAACGATTCTTCGATCAAGAAAATAAAAATGCCAGTGGTGGGTAGCTAGGATATGGTGTCGTCGTTAGCATGAGCGAAATCCTGCAGGTAGAAGTAAATGCCTTTAGAAAGCAAAGCTAAACCACATAATCCATAAGATATCAGCAGGACCGGCTTCCTTCCCAAGCGATCTATAATCATAGCGGAAACGATTGCGCCAGGTCGAATATTGAGCGGATATAATGATGCTGGATGATACTATAATAGTTTGCAGGTAAGATTCGATAGCTATAAAACCGCTCAGCTGTTGGAAGGTGGCAATACCAGCCATTAGCCAAATACCACATTTCCTTGCTTGAAATAAAATTCTATCCCATGCTGTTCTCCATATCGGAATATACCGAATTGGCAATCTCATCTAACCTTTGATCTAAGGTTTTATCATCCACTCCTGCGGGTTGGAATTTGATCAAGGCATTCCTCGCATCCTCGCTTCTCTCGACTTGCATCAAATAATACGGAGATTTCGGCATCGAAATGAAGATGTGAAAGGCGGCGCACATGATTCCAAGTACTGTGTACGATACGAATGGTCCCACAGAGAAGATTAAAAAGCCTATGAAGTGTTTCAAGACGTTCGCCAATCTTCCTTGAATATCCTTATCAGCATCTTCCTACGACAGTACGGATTACTTCACTTTCCTAACACTTTTTGCAAATACTGACGACGTCCATTGGTGAACCCAATGAAGAATCTTCTCCAACCAATTTTGAAGATAAAGACATGCAAGCTGAAAGTATCATCATACTTATTATATATTAATTAGTTAAGTAGTTATTAAAAAAAACGGTAAAATTCAATTGTTCCAGTTGGAACTTTAGAATTAAATTCCGAAAAAAAATATTATTTGTATGATAAGCAAATGATTGTTATAACTGAGAAAAATAATCATAACATGATTGCAAAAACAATCCACTATTTTCAATAAAAGAAAACGCACTATTCGAAATCTTATCTCAGGTATGTATCGATAATAAATAAATTACTTAGTGTAACTTAATGTTTACATTTATAAAGTATACTATTACAATGAAACGCATCTTTCCTTGATCTAAATCTCAAGTGTAAAATTAGTCCAAGTCTGTGAAAAAATATTTCAAAAAATACATATTTCAAATAATTATGGAATTTTTTTTTATTGTATATTTTTCAAATTTGTTCTTATGAAATAAATTAAGATACATTAACGTAAAACTTAACATCTACGTGTTATGTTGTATATAAGATTATTTATTTAATTAACATTTTTTTTATTGTCCTCAAATAGTTTTGGTTTATTATAATAATTTGCTGTACATTTTTTATCCTTAATATGTCTGAATTTAAAAATAATGTAAAACATGTATTTCGAAAACTTTAAATATCAATTAATATTAAAATACAAGCTAAAATTTTAGTTAATTATAAATAATTGAAATTTACAGTTTTCAGTATTTTTTGTCAATTAGACAAATGTAGACAAAAAATATAGGAATTAATGTATTTTGTCAACATTGTACTAATTAGTATTTATTTATAAATAATTGTTGTTAACAAATGCAGTTGTTATATAATAAATTCAATTGTCTTTAAAATATGAGTGTTATTTTTATATTTTTTTTTTGTTCTATGGTAATAACGGTTTCTAATTTAAAATCGTTAAGACTAATTAGCTAAGCTTTTCTTTAGATTATTTCCATTTGGAAAATATCTTTTCCATTTATATGGTTGAATGAATCGCAATCATGAATGAAAATAAACTTTTTACATAAATTTAATGACCTGATATACAATATAAATATTATAATATTAAAAGAGAAGTTAATATTATAATAACAATATTGATTAAATCTTACCTGTAAATCCAGCCACATATTGCACAATTCGTGTATTTTTGAAGAACATACTGATTTTAGAAATTTACGAAAAAGTTATGAATGTACAACACTTTTAACTAACCTACACTATAAAACACACTTATCGACAATGTTTAATTATTTTTTCAGAATAGAAGTTTTGTGTGTATTTGAATACGTTTTTATTTACATTCATTTGGCCATGTTACATAGATAAGATAAAGAATAACATTATTCTATTGGCAAAAGCCTTTAGTTTGAACCGTAATCCTATAATAGAGATCCTAAGTAATTATATTTAATTAAGAATCCTTCATTTCTTAATTATTTATGATCATAGATTTCGTAATCATATAATTAATTTTTATTATACTAAAACATCAAATAACGTAAAAATAGAGACATTGATCCTATCACAATAAAGATAAGAATATGAATGATTATTACTGTGTTGTGATCATTTTAACTTAAGACAATATTTTTTTGTTTAACTTAAATTGATGTAGTTATTTTATGTAAAATTTTGAATAATGAATATGTTAAATAATAACATTGAAATTTATCAAAAACTTGGATGAGATTATGCTGCATGATTGAAAACACGAAGATGAGAAGCAAATTTCATAAAAAGTAGTAAACTGCGATTTATTGATTGCTTTCAGAGTTCTTTTTTAGTTTACGCTGGATCTCTTCGAAAGTTTTTCCTTTGGTTTCGGGAACAACCGTGTATATGAAGACGCACCCGGCGATGCATCCGAAGGTGAAGATCCAGAATGCCGTGTAGTAGCCCCAAGCAACGCAGATCGGGCTGAAGATCTTGGATATAGTGAAGGCCAGAATATCGCCGTAGCAACCGCAAGTTGTCACAGCAACACCTTTGATGTTAATAGGAAACAATTCACCCATCAGCAGGAACGGAACCTCCACCAAACCAAACGATTCGCCGATCAAGTATATAACGATGCTGGTGGTGGGTAACCAGGAAATGACGTCGACGTTGGCATGGACGAAATCCTGCAGGTAGAAGTAAGTGCCTTCAGAGAGTAAAGCCAAACCACATATTCCGAAGGATAATAGCAGAACCGGCTTCCTTCCTAGACGATCTATAAAAAAAGAGGAAATAATCGCTCCTGGTATGCGGATGACCCCAAAAATAATACTCGAATGTTGTGGGGATAAAATACTGCTAGATGATTCTATAATGGTTTGCAGGTAAGACTCGATAGCTACAAAACCGCTCAGCTGTTGGAAAGTGTTAAGACCAGCCATGATCAAAATACCGGACCGGTATTCCTTGTTGGTAAACAATTCCTTGTATCCCATGCTATTCTCCATATCGGAATATACTGAATCGGAAATCTCATCTAACCTTTGATCTAAAGTTTTATCATCCACTCCTGCGGGTTGGAATTTGATTAAGGCATTCCTCGCATCCTCGCGTTTTCCGATTTGTAACAAATAATACGGAGATTCCGGCATCGAAATGAAGATGAGAAAGAAGGTCAGTGGGAGGACGGCGCACATAATTCCAAGCACTGTATACGATACGAATGGACCCACAGAAAGGATTAAGAAACCTATTAAGAGTTTGATAGCATTCGTAATTACAGCCAATCGTCCTCTAATATCCTTATCAGCTATTTCTGCTATATAAATAACAGATCCCTAAAGTTAAACAATTGTTTAAATTAAATTTAAAAGAAAATACATTAATTTACCGATTGCGCCATTGTATAACCAATTCCGCCAAGTGTTCTGGCGACGTAAAGCATCCATGGGGCATTTGCGAAGATGATCAAGAACCATGGTAGAAATGTGAAGAACGCGGAAAGGAGAAGCGTGTTCTTACGTCCAATGTTATCCAGAAGGTAAGCAGTGAGCGGCGCTCCCAGTAAACTAGCCAAAATGAATATGGAAATCATCCAAGAAGCATCTTCCTGCAACAGCATGGATTACATCATTTCTCTAACACTTTTTGCAAGAACTTACGACGTCCATTGGTGAACCCAACGGAGAATCCTCTCCAAGCAATATAGGAAGAGCTGGAGAAGACCATGTCATGTAAATTGTTGCAGAAGCTAAAGACATGCAAGCTGAAATTCATTAAGTTTAATTAATTAATGTAACTTAAAGCTAAAATTTTAAAAAAATGTAATAAGTTTTATTTGTGACATTACAGTTTTTTTGTAATTGTTGTCTGATTTCAAAAAATATCATAATATTTATATCCATATTTATATTTCATAGTATTTTCTAATATATTTATATATTGACATATTTTGTATGTCACTTTAGTTGGAAGAAGTCGTTTTGTTTTTAACAAATACATTTGGTATTATTATTAAATAATAATTGATGTTCAATTGTCTGTAAAATATGAGCGTTAATCTTATCTTTTGTTTCTATGGTAATATAGTTTTTTTAATTATGTTTAATTGAGCGTCAAATCGATAAGACTAATTAGGTAAGCTTTTCTTTGCATTTTTTCCAATTTCGAAAACATATTTTCCATTGATATGGTTGAATAAATCGTAATGATTTAGAAACATCAATTTCTGTTGAATGAACACATTTTTTTTTACAAAAATTCAACAAAATTAATGAAACAAAAAATATTAATTTTTTAATTGTATAATAACAAAATTGATAATATCTTACCTGTAAATCCAGCCACATATTGCTTAATTCTTGTATTTTTGAAGAACATATTGAGTTTGGAAGTAGTCGTTAAAGTTACTATTAACTAACCAACAGTACGGAACACACTTATCGATAATGCTTTATTTTTTTTGAAAACAAGTTTTTGTATAATTTGAATACGCTTTTTTTTTAAAGAAATTGGATACACATAGATAAGATAATGATTAACAATGTTTTATTAGCAAGAGCCTATAGCTTGAACCTTAATCCTTTAAGTAATTCTAAATAGAAAAAAAAAACAAAGCAATTATATTTAATTAGGAATGCAAATACTATTTTCTTTTTATTATATCAAAAAAATCAAACAACGTGAAAATAGAGACATTGTGACATCAATTAGTAAAATTTAGTAAATTTAAATTATATTTTTGTAGTTATACAGAATTTTAATCATTGACATTTGTCAAATTTAGTGACATGACTTTTGTGTGACATGTAATATGAATGTATGCCAAGTGTACCAAATACTATTAACTATTAGAATAATTTATTGAATTACATAATAAACATTTCTGACATTAGAAAAAATGACATTTGTCACACTTTTGTGTGACATGTAATATAAATGTATGCCAAGTGTACCAAATACTATTAATTATTAGAATAATTTATTCAATTACGTAATAAACGTTTCTGACATTAGAGAAAAAATGGCATTTGTCAAAATTTGTGACATGACTTTAGTATGACATGTAATATAAATATATGTCAAGTGTACCAAATAGTATTAACTATTAGAATAATTTATTGAATTACATAATTAGTTTCAAATGTTTTTATTTGTTATATGATATAGGTTACATCTATGGTTATACATGAGTAGTCATACTGCTTAAGCCTTAGCTCTTTCAGCATGCTTTTTATGGATTACTGGTTTTAGTAATGACAAAACAAAAATTATACACATTATGGGGATTAGATACACATTTTGGAAAGTAGGTTAGAAACACATTTTAAAGCTATAATGACATTTAGAACATGAATACACATTATAGAGAATATATAAATGTTATAGGATACATACAATTATAAAGATAATGCACATTATGGGAAGATAGATACATATGCACTAAGAGAAATGGAAAGACATTATAGAAAACATGGATTTATGTTTTGGATCAAGTCATTGAAGATGGGATTTCGGTTTCTAGATTTGGCTGGAGGGAATGGGATTTTTATTTTTGGTTTTGGCCTGAGACATTTACTGGGAGGAAGTTTGAATGAATTTTCCTTGGAGTGTTTTTATGAATTCTGTTATGCTGGGGAATGAAACATGCTCCTAGAGTTGAACCGACTAATATTTGTAATGGAGCTTTAGGATTTTCCGGATAATTGAGGTGAAATGAGGGTGTGAATTGCGATGGGGTGTGTGATGACAGGGCGGATGTAAGTTTTGTAAATATGCACTAGTGTTTCGGTAGAACATCCTCCCAGTTTGGACCTAAAGCAGGCTATTAGGTTGAATCGATGATTTACTGTTTTCAGGATGTTTTTGATTAACAGACTTTGATCAAGGCTCATGTGAAGCAGGATGCCGAGATATTTGGTGGTGTCGGATTCTTCGATGTCGACATTCCAAAGATTGATCCTCAGTGCGACATCTCGAATAGGGTGTGTTGGAAACCAATAAGCTGTGATTTGGTGGGACAGGCCGAATGAGTGGAATCATCTTCAGGGGTGGATATGTTGGCACAGTAGATGTTGAAGGTTTCTGACATTAGAAAATTTGACATTTGTCAAATTTAGTGACTTGACTTTTGTGTGACATGTAATACAAATGTATGCAAAGTGTACCAAATACTATTAATGATTAGAACAATTAATTGAATTACATAATAAAAGTAGATGAATATGTACAAATATATCGTTTCTGGATTTTAAGCTATTACAGTTTTAGAGACAGCAAAACTTTTGCATCCGGTTTTTAATTGGTATGGCCAATAGTGGAGGTATAATATAGTAACGTAATTACGGCCACCTTGACATCATTTCCCATTCCGATTTGCAATCGCTTCATTAAAAATGTAAAATCCATTTTTAGGAAAACAAACAAATCGGATTCAATCACCACAAAAATTTAATGAAAAGATCATGTATTTTTTAAAAAGTTTTTTTTTTAAAGACTATCGACCACAGTTGTCTATATAGAATATATGAATGTTAATTATTTATTATACTAGTAAAACTTCATTAAAATTAACAAAGTTGGTAAAATATCGCCTATTCAACTAACTTTTGCTTAACTTTTATAAGTTTTTAAATAAAAAGTTCGTTTTGGAGAAGTATACAAATATTATTTATATTAGCAAAGTAATAGTAAATAATAATTAAGAACAAAATGAATTTTATAAAGAAAAATATTTCTGATACAAATTTAAAAAAAGCCTTGGGTATTTCCAACACGTTTCTTGTTTTGTTTTCATAAATATTCTAATTGTCAGGAGTAAAATTCTGTTTTTAACTTGGATGTACCGTGTAATTTAATTAATTTAGTGTCAACGAAAAAACAAGTACATGATTCTTATTTTTCTGAGGCCACGAAACATGTCAGTCGCGCCTGATTTTTCTGTTACAAATAAGGTTTTTTTTACCTTTATTTTTTCTCAAATTTCATTATTGTTAACGTATTGAGAGGATTTATCGCTTTAAATTGTGTACTTCGAATACACGCATGGTGTACCAAGGATGGATTTCATCCTTTTTAACATGTTTACGGTCTGGTGGAAAGAACCTCGGCCGCAGAAGTCTTCGAATTCTTAGTTTCATTATCGATGACAAAAAAAGTGTAATACTTCCTTTTACTATTTATATTATTTCAACATAAAACTTAGTAATTAAAGAATAATTAGAAAATTTGCAATAAATGATTCATTGCCAAAATTATTAAAGGTCTACGTTGACAGGAAATCGGATGTGACGTAAATCTACTAAACTTGAACTTGAAATGTAACATTAAGGTCGTGAATAATATTGAAACTTATATGAATTAAAATTAACCTTAGCAATTGCTATAATCACATAATTATAAAGTAGTTTAGAGGAAATTACTTTAGTATTGTCTACAATATAGAAGGTTATTGATGATATCTTCGAGTTGAAGTTATTCTTATAGGAAATCTTGAAATAAATTAGAGAACTTTTTTCAGATTTATTGTCTTTTTATGTCTTAATACCTTTATTCTTACTTTGTTAATTTATAGTACAATTATAACTTAATTACAAAATCTATGGTCTAAATTTATTAAGAAACTAATATACAAATTCTTAATTAAATATAACTGTTTTTAATACACAATTTCTTGTTTCATTTTCAAATAAAGATTTATATTTATCTTTAAATAAAATTGCAAGAATTCTTCAAATATTAACGTAATTGTTGTTTCCTTTTCTTATCTGCTGTAAAGAAAGTAGATTTCCAAATCTAAACTTTGAATCATTTATTAAATATTAAGTATATGATTATAGAAAGAAACCAAATTATTGCTTATTATTTTGGTTTATTTCTTAAAAATCAAGATTATATTTTTAAATATGAATATAATAATTTGCAATGAAAGTATGAAGTGTAATAAGTAAAGAATTTGACTGTGAATCTGAGAAATGATTGAAGAAATTCACATAATACTGAAATATCTTAATGTTAAAAAATAAACCATTTACAAGTCAATTTTAATTATGTTATTAATGAATCGTTGATGTATTCCAAGTATTAATTGATGGTTACGATATAGCATTAAGTGTTATATAATGAAAGGAATCATCTAAATGAAATGAATATATTTCTTTGTTATCTTACGTTGAGCTAACATTCACACATCCGAAACGGAGATGTGCAAATTATAACAAATATTGAGGAAGACAAGGAAACCATTTATAATGAATGTTATGGAAGAGAAGGAAAAACGCACTTTGACACCTGTGTCAAGTAAACACGGGTAAAAGTGAAGTTTTGTAGTGCGTATGGGTATGTATGTGAATCTGTAGAAGAAGTATTGCTAAACTTGCTGGTAAAGTGGGAGACGGACAAGGCTACGTCCGTACATATATAAATGCAAAACGACGAAAATTTGCAAGCCAATGCACAAGAAAGACCCAAACCGAAAAAATAGGTTACATTCAATTGCAAATCTTACATTCAGTTGTGTTCAATCAGGAAGATGATCTTCTCGGTGAGTAAATCTTTTTGTTATAATTTGTGTGTAACTAGAAATATTTTGATGTTTCTCTTTGTTATTTAAGAATATTTTTTAACAAATATACTGAAAATTATCGTAACATCAACATTAAAAAATCTCGAATAAAACTAGTAAAATTCTAAGTTAAAAGTAGATTTTACACAATAATTTCAATTACTTAATGATAGTTTCATTTTTGTATTGATTCGCGTACAAATTTTATTAAAAATGAGATGAGAATTTAGAAAAAAACGATCGATTTTTTCCCTTTTTGTACGGTTAAGTATTTTGTTCGTATCGATTAGTCCGGTTTTGAATTAGTCCGATATATTGGCGAAACTGATTACCCACACTATGCGTGGTATTACTGTATTTATTTGAACTGATTACCAGCACCATGCGGGTACATGAAGTACATTGAAGAATAAAAACCAATACTTAATTGATAGCTTCAAAAATTTGCAAAAGTTAAGCAAGATGATTTGTGGACAGGTGATTCGATTAATATTCACTATATACAATTGATCAATAGAAAATAACAAGAAAACCAATTAATATAAAAAAATAAGTATTATTAACAATAATCATTAAATAATTGCACATTTTTGCTGCACTTTAATTAAAAACGTTATTGAACTTTCATCAATTAAATCTTGTATACATATTTTTTTGTCCTCCAGAGGAATAACACTAAGAGAATTGGGTTCAATAATAGAGATTGCATCAATCCTTGCCATCCCAATTAAGAGCAATTTGCAGGCCTCCATTTGCAATTTGATTTTAATGCTCCAACAGTTCAAGACTAGCAGCTTTTTAATTGGTCGACTTGTTTCGATTTCAATTATTACGCGCGCGGTTTTTCATATTTCTTTTTTTTTTGTTTGTTCCCTCGGAGATTTGCATCTCCTGACTCACGCCTATTAACAGGAAAGAAAAACATGGGAAAATTGTTTATTGCAGTCGGCAGGAAAATTATAATTGATCGCATTTGCATTTTCATTAAACTCTATATCAAGGGCCTCGTATTCAAATTTTACACATGTGAATCATCATTGAATTGTTACATAATATATTAAGTATAAGAATATGAGAGCAACAATAGTACTTGATAATTGTTTAACAATTCTTTAAACGAGTGTACATTTTTTCAATGTTAAGCTTTTTTTTAATTTTCGAAAATTAGATTTTTTAAACATTTTGTAGGAATTAATTATAACATCAAAATTACATCTTCTGCTACTACGTAATGTTTATTGAAGATCTAAATATGACAATTTAATTTTTACATTTTCGTTTTATAATAAATTATTATATAATCATGCACGCTAAATGTATCATTAAATATACATGTTGAAGATAAAACTCTGACCTTTGCATTGATTGTGTATCAGTTAAACCATAAACAATTATTCTCTCTCCCTCTAATATACAGTAGTAATCATAACAACAAAATTTAATAATTTTGCAAAACAATTAATAAATATATTAAACAATAATTAAAAAGGATTACTATATTTTTTAACTTAATCCTACGAATTAATTGCGTCTGAACAATGTAGATAAATAATTATAAATTCATAAAAAATAAAAAAACTTACATGAATTAAACAATTTGACTACAAAATTATGTTATAGAAAATGAAGGTATGAAAATAAAAGTTATTATGAAATTAACCTAAACCTTTCAAAATAGTGTTATTTATAAGAAATCGCTTTAAAATGTGGCAATTCAGGTGCAAATTATTTTTAATATCTTGTCTAATTAACGCTAATTAAAGTGGTGTTTGTGTGTGAAAATGCACGAAACGCTTATTGGAAAATAGCAATTAGCAGCAGATATTGTTTTCAGCTTAATATTTTTCGTCTCACGCAAATGCGTTATATAATCTTTGATTATAAGTACTACTAAATTTGTTGTAAATACTGAAGTTATTTAATTTTTGTATCTTTTTCAGATTTTGTTGGTCAGTGGATTGGTTGGTAGCGCCCTTTGCGGTGGATACGGCCTGTACACAGGAAATGAAGGAGGATATTACAGTGGAGCTTCAGGTGGTGCTGCAGGATATGGCGCAGCCGCTGGTTACGGCGGATCCTCCGGTTACGGTGGATCCGCAGGATACGGCGGTGGGTATCCTGGATACGGAGGTGGTTATAGGGACGGCTATGAGGGCGGTTACAACTTTCCATACAGACCATCAGCTTATGCACCTTTTAGGCCAGGTTATTCACTATTTGCACCAATTCTTCAAATTTCATTACCTTCAACAATTTATCCATTATATAAACTAATTTGATATTCGTGAATGACAGGTAGCAGCAGCGGCGCCTACAGACCCACTTACAATCGCCCTGGATACAATGGATACAGGCCTTCGGCTTCCGGAAGTGGTTACTATGGAAACAAGGGAGTCGGTTCTTACCGTCCCAGCTACAACACTGGTTCCGGTTATAACGGAATTGGAGGTTCCTTAGGAGGCGCTGGATACAACGGTGCTGGAAGTGGCTTGGGCGGCGGCGGTGGATACGGTGGAGTTGGAAGCACTTTAGGAGGAGGCGGCGGATACGGCGGAGTTGGAAGCACCTTAGGAGGAGGCGGCGGATACGGCGGACTTGGAAGCACCTTAGGAGGAGGCGGTGGATACGGCGGAGCCGGATACGGAAGTGGAGTCGGTATTGGAGGAGGAAGTTTGGCTGGAGGCTATGGATCTGGATATGCCGGTGGACTTGGAGGTGGATTAGGAGGCGTTGGAGTTCAACCTGGATACGGAGGAGGTTACAATGGTTACGGAGGATACGCAGGCTATGGTGGTCCAGGTTTCTTCAACAAGAAATAGGAGAAACCCAAAGAGAAGAAGCTTATATTTTTTGGAACGAATTTTTGTGATGTTTAATTCAATGAATTAGTGAACTATCATCGATTATTTCTATTTTGTACAAACACTATGATTTATTAAGTATGTATTTATTGAAACAAAAGAATATTAAATTTCAGTTTTTTTATATAGATTTTTTTAATTGAACCTTAAAAATGAAAACAATTATCTTACTTAAATTACCTTTAAATTAGGATTGTGTGGTGTTATGATGCAGACGCATTAGGAGCCACAGTAAAGAAGTGGGATAATCAGTGAAAGGGCATAAGCAGTATTTATGAGCAAAAAAGCAATGTTTTCACATTTTCTCGGAAACTATAATAAAACGGATGAAATTGAAAATTGAAAAGATGCATATTAAAGCTAGATATTTGGGGAATGTATCGAGTATTTATACATTACTTTGGTTTTATCTACTTGGCTGTAATTCGCGTTCAAAGTAGAAAAAATTAAAAATTACGTTTTAGTGATTCTCTTGAAAACTATAGTAGATTGAATGGATTCAAAAGATACATATGAAAGCTGAATATAACTATGGTTTTATCTATTTGGTTGTAATTCACGTTCAAAATTTTAAGTGATTTTTTTTCGTTCTACTCAAATTAACATAATTAATATTTTCAAACTATTATTTTATTATTTTTTGTATTGTAATTATTAGAAGATTTCAGCCTTTAAAACTGGATTTCAATTAAAATACAGTAATTATATTATATTAATTAAGTGAATATATATTTTTTTTAAGTTTTTAGTAAATTATCAAAAATTAATTAATTAAGAATTAATCAAAGTTTAAAAATATTTTGTGCAAATTTTAAATTATAAAATTATAAAAAGAACATATGTGTTATTAAGGTGCGAAACCAATATTATACGACCTCGCCCAGCGAAAGAGATGTGGCAAGTCAGGAAAATCCGAAAAGTCTTTCTCTCAAATCTCGACATCGGCATTTCCGACTGACCCACATTGCCGGTAACAGATTTGTCTGCATAATACTTAACCAAACACTATGACCAAGTGAACCAATGCACCAATTCCAATAACGTTTCATGCAACAATGAATCACACACACAGGAATTAACAACGGCTGCTGTAATTAATAAAGCTTCTTTTTTTTATTGTCTGTATTCTCTCTTTCTTTTATTTTAGAAAGATACGTTATATAACCGAAATTGAGTTTGTGCAACGAATTTAAAGCCTGCCCCATGGACAGTTTTGTAATTCCAGTTAGTTTGCCGACTTGGAACCACTCTCACTCGATCGAAGAAACCCATCGAGGAAAGCACACCAGTTTATCATTGTGATCCTGCGGTTATCTTAAATTATCCCCAGAATAACGTTATTATCTTCATCAGTTGATTATCCCGAAATGTATACGAGGGTGAGTGTTTACTTTTATTTTGATGCACATTGATTTCCATTTGCGAACCATTAACTCCAGTTATCGCCTAATGTTTTGATAGAGATAGGTATTTTTAGATGATCGTAAATCAAATCGATCTTGCGCTGATGATAGTGTAATCTCGGTCATAGTATCATCCTGCAAAAAAAAAACAATAGGAATAGCTCCAAAATACCGCAAGGTAAAATCAATAAAAAAAAATCGATATTGCATGAGAAGGCAAAACAATAATATAGGACAGATTCGTATTAGGAGATCCGCTCAAAATTCAACTTTGGACGCAATTTGGAGCGGGCCACCTCCGCGAAATTATGTAATTTCGCTGTGCGAAAACCCACGCGACTCGCACCAAAAATAAACGAACAGACGTCAGACGCAAGAGACGAGAGAAAGTTACGCAACGCATGATCAAATAATAACATTATTATGCAAGAGTAAAAGTTATTGTTGAATGGTGGTATTTAGCTTCTCGTTCATTCTTTGATTCCAATCTATTTGTGTTATACAGTTATTATTACTACACATTATAAAACTATTAAAGTTTTGAGTATCTGCAACTTCTTTATTTTTATGATTTGATTTCTTTGATTAAATTATTATTATATTCTTTTGATTCTAGAACTTTTTCCTATTTTTTAATTACTTTATATCGATAATATTTATTTGTGTCAACTATTGTTAGTTGTCATGTATTCAGTTGACACTGACAATTGAAATTATATAATACTTTGACAATTGTACATACTAGTTGGAACACGTATTATATAGAGTCAATTATGTAAATTAATTATAATTTAACGTAAGAAATTGAAAGAATTTATTTTGAGTTTAATAACCTTGTGATCATGTGCATCATCTTGTATTTATGCAGATTTTATTGACGCTTTGTCTGGTGGGCTTAATCCAATGCCAAGACTACGATCAAGACGATTTGGGTAGACGTCTTCATCGACGTCCGAGACCCAATTACCAAAATCAAGGACCGTGCGGGCGGGATGCGAACGGAGAAGGCCGTTTCTTCAACCTGCAGTACGTCAACCTGAATTACAACTACAATTGCGGAGGCGGCTACGGCGGTCAAGGCCATTACCAGCAACCTCATTACCCTCAACCACAGCAGCCCATCCATAGACCACCGTTGTTCTCCGGCGGAGGAGGACATTTCCAGAAACCACAAAGGCCCATTAAACCTCAGAGACCGATCTTAGGAAACTTGTTTGGACAGGGTGGACATGGAGGTTTAGGACAACACGGAGGTCTTGGAGGTGGTTTAGGACAGCACGGAGGAGGATTAGGACAGTTTGGAGGAGGATTGGGACAGCTTGGAGCAGGCTTGGGACAATACGCTGGAGGTAAATACCATTAATTCCGTTTACAAGTTTACAAATTATCCAAAAATTTAGGAGCTTTATCGAACGTGGTGCCGTCAGTGACTGGTGCATTGCAAGATGCAGCTTCCCAAGCGGGAAACTACTTGAACCGCCCCAATTTCCAGCCTTTCAGGCCCGGTTTAGGTAATGGTGGTCCTCTGGGTTTGGGTGCTTTCGATGGTAGCATAATTAACAGCTTTGTCGGCCTCTTCAGGCCCAATCCTAACAGACCTGTCCCTTCATCTCCTTCATCCACCGGTGTCCAGTACTTGGACGAGGTTAACAACAATAATGTAAATAATAACGATAACAATAGCGGAAGCATCGATGAAAAACCGGTCCACGAGGATCCGGACGAAATCGTCGAAGCTTACAGCAACTCTAAAGCCAAAAAAATGATTTCAGCCTTCGGACCGTCGTATTACGCCCCCTACAACCGCATAATTCGAGGGATTAACAAGGAATTCATCCACCTCTTGAGTTGATTAACAAATATTAATCATCGTTATCGCTTCCTATACTAAATTGTGATAATATCTGAGATAATCAAGAACACGAAATTTTCAATTCACTTTTTCATTTAATTTATTTATTGTCTAAATTAATACTTAAAGCCAGATTATATAACATATTGCCTTATTCATCTTTAATACAATCTATAATCATATCTCTTTAATTTAATTTAAGATTTCGTTTAACATTGCAAGTTTTATATTGATGAATTCAATTTTTGGTTAGTTTATATTTGAAATTCTTTATTATTGTTAAACACTACATTTCATACTTACATTTTATACTTTGGAGCAAAATACAAATTGTAAATAAAAAATATTCGAAATTTTGATGAATGTAATATTTTTTTTTTAATTAAAACGAAAATTATGATTCCAATATAAATTTATTTATAAAAAAAAAACTAAACAATGTTTATTTATCATCCTCGTATCCATCGTCGTCATCGTTGTAAGGTCTTTGATAATATCCGTCGAAAGGCGTTCCGTATTCCTCTGAAACATCCACTTTACCTAAGAAAGGCTTCAACAGTTTATCATGGAACTTCATGCTAGTCCTGCGTTCATCCTCATCTAAAGGATTCGAGCTCCCAACGATTGCGCTAGAGTTCGAATCTTTTATAAAGAACTTCTCGGGGTTCTTGACGTTAGCCTCAGAGTCGATCTCCAAAGTTTCATTGAATTTCTCTTTATATAATTCAGGATTGATGGCTGACACAAAACTCCTGGAAGATAGATTAGGTACGTACTTTCTCTCCTCATCATCATCTCCATTATCCCTGAAGAATTGAGCCAAATCATCGTTGGTAGGTTGTGCCATGAACGGTTTCAAGAGATTTTCCGGTAAATTAAGACCAATTCCGACTTTCTCCTTCTGATCCTCATGTTGCTGCTGTTTAAACATATCTCTCAGAAACTCATCCAACTCTGCGTCTTCGATATCATCATCTTTAACTTTTGAAGGTTGTGAAACAATTTCTTTATTTTTAATGTTTTCTCTCATAGCGTTGAAATCGTTCTTCATTTCTTGCAAAAAGTCTTTGACGCTTTCAACGCCAATAGCATCTTTAATTCCTTGAAGAGCGCTCTCCAAATCATCTTCTTCGATATCTTCGCTGATCACGTAAAACTTATTTACCTTCTCCACAATCTCATCGTTTTCTTCATCTCCTCCGAAGCGCGATTGTAATATAGGAAAGGCAGCTTCGGCTACCAAAGGCTTGTTCTTCTGTATAATGATTCGCATTAAACCGACTTTCTCGTTTTCCGGATTAGAAACACCGAAAGCGTCCATGAGATCGCCCATTTTCACGTAATTGGGTTCGTGCTTAATTTGGTCGTCGTCTGTTATATCCAAGAACCTCGGTGAAATCATCATGAGCTTCTTATCTTTCTGAAGAGTTGGGGCTCTGGCATAAGGAAGCAATACTCTTGGAGCTGCAAATCTTGCTGTGGTAAACACTTTTCGAGCGCTGTGAGCTGCATCGCTTATATGTTGAATAGTTTCGTGTCCGGACTTGATGCTATCTCTGATGACGGACCCGAATTTCTGGAAAGTATCAACTATGGGGTCTTGCGGTTGGACAGGAGCTGCTTGACCTAAGATAGGTTCAACTTTCGGTAATATCTTGCTTTCCATTTTAGGAGCATTTTTCTGCATTCGCCACATCTCGAAGCGCTCTTTCAAAGTCTTAGGTCTTAGATCGATAGGAGCAATAGCAGGAGGTTGCGCTTGAGCTCGAGCTTTAATCGCAGCAACTTCAGCAGGTTTCATCACAACATCTTTACTTGTGTCTACTATCTTGTATTGAGAGGGAATTATTAGCTCTTGCGGAGCCATCTTTAGGGCTGAAAGAACGGCGTTTTTTGTTGACCCTACGAAATTTTTCACGTGATACATGGGAGCTCTCTTATCCTCGAAACTGTTTCTTGCGATTGTCCCAACGTTCTCCAAAGTTTTAGGCATATCCAATTTAGCATTAGGATCAGCCATCAGGCGTAATAACGGTAACGAACGTTTCTTTCTGGAAATGGATTCAATCATCAAAGGTCTCAATTTAAAAATTTCATTGCTTGGTCTTGAAGTCTTCTTGATAGCTTTCCAATCGTCAACTTTAAGTTCGTTCCAAAATTCTTTATGCAATCGATCAATGAATCTAATATCTTCATCCGTTAAGATGTTAGCCTTTAAATCACTTTTCAGCGAGCGTTTCTTGTGATGGCTTCTTCTGTATTCGGGAAAATGGAGCAAGTAAGGAGATGATACGAATTCCGAGGATGCAGATGAAACTTGTTGAGAGGTTCCGGGTCCGTTGACTTGAGATACTTGTATTTTCTGGTTACCGTTTGATCCTCCTGAAACGGCGTTGGAGAAGGTGTTTTGCTGGTTATTAATTGTGACTTGAGTAGGTTTAACGTGCGATAAATCCAATCCGGCGTTTGGTTTAAACGAGTTAAAATCAATCCCGGGATGAACAGGGTTTATAATAGGGTTTATAACGGGATTATGAGATATGGGTTTTCCCCAATGATCAACTTGTGGTTGCTGATTACCCGGGTGGAAGCCAAAAGGTCTTTTATGGAAAAAATGATGGTTAAAATGTCTCGAATCAGGATTGGCTTCCCTTAACTTATCGGGAATATCGAAGCTGCTAGGTGTTACTTTATAATCATTGATGCCATCATGCGAGTCAGGTTTCCAATCACCTGGATATACAGAGACCAAGCTATCGCTTTCAGTGTGCTTCAGATCCTTAGGAAAGTAACTATCAATAGGAGTCTGCTTTGTGATTTGATGATTCTTCCAGAAATCCGTGTTTCCCAATAGCTTAACATTGTACGATTCTCTAGGTACATCAGAATCTGAGCTTCTAAAATTATTACCGTTATTTAAGGACCAAACAAACAGATCTTCATCTCGCTTCAAATTTGAACGTTTCACTATCCGATGACTGAGAAGATCGTGCATCAATCCTACGTTTTCGGTGACTTCCCTTGGATAATCTGACATGGCTTCATCTACCTCCTGCATGATGGCTTCTTTGGTATCTTCTGGACCTGCTTCATGATTGGCAGCACCTAAGATCGGATGATGACCATAATACAAAGCGTTATGGATGTTAGCTCTAGCACGAGCCGAAAGCAAATCATGATGGATCTTTGCCTCTTGGATATGCTTGTGAATATCAGCCCTGGCTTTCAAGGATAAGGCATGAGCTCCAGCCACAGAAGTGAGAACAGCAGCTTTAGCTTTAGCTCCAAGTGCTAAAGCATCTACAATAGGAATCCCAAGACCGATACCAACAATAGGATCGCCTTCTTCTCCGTGATTTTCCTGCTCCAAATACTGTTGATCCAAATGATGTGGATCCAAATTGTGCGGATCCAAATGATTCTGATCCAAATGTTGAGGTGGTATCGAATAATCGTGATGAAACTCTGGTTGCTGATGATGATGAATCTCGCCGGGCGGATGCTGTCCATGTGCGATATTTGCACCGCAAACGATCACCTAAAAAAACGTATGTTTAATCTAATTGCTAAAAATACACATGGAAACTGAAATTTTTGAAACAAAAATAATGTTATCTCCATCCTAAATTTAGCGTAAATTTCCTGTGAGATTCGAAGCATTTCCTAGAATTCGGTCATTCTTAGTAAATTAATTATTAATTATTATTTTTTTTTAGTTACTTTTATCATCGAAACGCGTGATCCATTCTTATCAGTGTGGACCAAACGTATCAAGAGGAACCACAATTGGAGTGTACACTTCGAGTATCACATACATAACCGCATACATCGATCTTTGTATTGTTTTTGTTGTTTTTATAAACATAATAACAACGCGTGATTCTTATTAGTGTGGACCAAACTTTTCATGAGGAAACACTAGTAAAGTACATACCTATATTGTTTGGATATTTGAAAGGATAAAAAACAACAGGAGTGGAGATGCACTTGTTTCCAGTACACTTTGATCCAGTTGATTGATGAAATTAAAGTGGATTTCTGATTGGAAGGTATTACAATTATTTGATAATATTATTTTAATATCCAGTTTTATGTTTAGTTTTTAACAAATATACTTGGATTATTTTCTTAATACACGAAAGAATCTTGATTTTGTTTTTTGAGTTTAAAATTCGAGAAAATTTTGATGTTTAAAAGTATGCATTTTTTGTTGAATTTGCAATATTAAAATGTTGATTATAGTAATAAAATCAAATGTAATTACTTAAATATTTAGATCAATACTTATATTTATAGTTTTAATGTAATTATTGTTAAATAAAAGTAATTTTAAAGTACTTACCAATAGAATTAACACCATTTTATACCTGATCATCATTGGAACAAAATAAATAAAAAGCCAGTACTCGAGCTACGTGCAAAAGAAGTATGTCAGTTTGATGAAAAAAAAAAACATCTTCGTAGGCAATATAAAAAACCTCACTCAGCGAATTGCAATGAAAACAACGTAACCAGGAGCAAGGAAAATTACAAAGAAACGTCCAGTATGTTTAAATAAATATTTATTCCTCCATTTCTTCATAGAAAAAAAGAATTCAATTAAAATACATGAAATTTCCCTTTCTTCGAAAAAAAAACCCACATCGCATCTAAACAAAAGTTTCGATTAGTTCAAAAAAAAAATATAATAATTACATAAATAAATTAATTAATATTAAAATAATAGAGAACAACTCAGAAACAGAAGATAATTCAACAATCCTTACTAAGAAGAAAATTAAAACGAATTATTACAAAAAAGAAATATATATATATATAAGTATATGAAAAAGAAACGTTTCCGAAAGCCGAAAATCTAATTCAACAATGAACAAATAATAATCGTGTTCAGCACACTGAAATGCCCGAATACTCAAAAAAAAATCATATGTATGTAAATTCGTAATTAATTAAGGCACAAAAAATGCGTATAATATATATTTTTTATACATATTAAAGAAAAAAGAACGAAGTATGCAAGCATTTACAGTCACACATATTATTTTTTTTTTCTTAAATAATATTAATGGTATTACATAATAAGTGTTTACTTTTTTTTTGTAGATGGAATAATAAGTGTGTTATTTCCATTATTTCCATCATTTTTTTTTGTGTTGTTTGCTATTTTTATAAGTAATTTATATCCCACGTACGTTCCTTCATCCTTTCATTTGCTACACACGTTGCAGCCGAGATTTCATTGGCTCGTGCTTCGAAACAAATACAAATAGTTCTTACAAATCGGATTGGTCGGGAGCTAAAACACACACAAAAGACACGCAATTAGAAGTGTTCCATAGGTAAAATATTTGATGTGTGAAAACGAAACAAAAATAATAGATAGAGAGAAGATAGAAAGATAGATACAAATGATGTTTTCATTTGATGAATGAAAGACTAACAACTTGATGAATGAAAGTGTAATTGGATGATCACAAATGAGCTCAGCAAACTTTTACTTGCATTTGATATCGGGCTAATGAACAATTTGGCTTTTTAGATTGAAGAAAAACATGCATGCAGGCATCAATGAAAGTTGAAAACAAAATTTAACAGAAAAAAAAGACATGACAGAGGTTAATTGGATTAGTTCAGAAGAGCAAAGTAAAAAATGTGTAACAAACAAAATCTCAAATTAATAACAAATTATAAGTGAAGTAGAAATAAATACAAAATGGTTTGTTAGTTTATTATTGAAATCAACGTAAGCGGCGAAACAAATAAAAAACATTGACGATAATGATTTTCTCGATTTCAATTTATAAACAGTTTATTTTGTTTTGTTTTTTTTTTAAGTAATGAAGTATTAAGGAAAAGATGAACACTATAGAATTTCCTCTTTTCGTTTCCTCCAAGTAGCAAACTACACCTTTCTTTAGTGGGTTAAAAAGAATTATTATTCAAACATCCAAATTACAAAAAGGAAAAATAAAATCAATTTTGGTAATAAAATTTTGAATAATCCAAAAAGAAAAAATTAAAAACTCGTATGTTAGTTACCCAAGCGGAATCAAAACGTAAAAAAAGAAAAATTCCCAAAAAATAACCAAAAATAATAGAAGCCAGATATTTCTGTGTATTTCGTAACCAATTGAACGGTTCTAATTGGCAATACATATCAAATGCAAGTCAAGAAAAGGTGGAGTTTACTCCTTCATTTCAACAAATCATTAGCGTTGTTTTCTGATTCAGTTTGTTCTTTTTTTTATTATTTAATTTTGCACCCCTTCTTTTGTGGGGGTGCACAATTTAATCCGATTCGAATTAAATTTCCAGTTAATACTTCAAGCCTACCAATTCACAACGTACAAAAATAAAAAAATGCGTACAAAAAATAAAAGAAAATACACCGAAACCAATTCTAACAAATAAACAGAAAAAAAAAACAGCAAAAAAATAGATAATAGTAAAAAAGTCTAATATACCTCAAGAGGTAAACACCTCGGGGGCAGTCTTATATAATCATTACAAATTTTTGGTTGTTCGAAAGAGTTTGTGTTTTTTTTTGGTTTGTTTTGCTTTTGTTTTGTAAATAATGAAATTTAGTTTTTTGCTTGAAAATTTTGGACCATCGACCGGTATAATTCGCTTCACGAGGCCGCCGTCGTTCGTTTTTCTGCATGGTGTTTGGGTTTCTGGGGATTTGGGTCTCCGAAGGACTTGTAATACTCGCTGTACTCGTTGTAGAACTCTTGCGGTGTCTGGACGGCGGTCGCGTTCTGCGATAAATAATTGCTCACTTCCTCCGAGCTGAGATCCTTGTCCTCACTGAGGATCTTGTACGCCGCTGCTTGCAGCTTCTCAATGGGAATGCCTCGGAATAACCGGCCTTTCTTCTTCTTTAGTAAACTCTGCACCAGCTCGTTCACAAGCTTATCACTTGGCGTCGATGGAGATGTCACTCCGCTGGAGCTGAAGCTCTCGTAATCGCTCAATGGTAACGACAGTTTTTCCCGTCTGCAATCCTTCTCGTCCTCTTCATCCTCATCCTCGCACTCCTCTTGTAGCAACTTGAATAATCTGGAATGCGTCGCTGCTCTTTGGTATTTGCTCATTTTCTTAAGCTCAGTGAACTCGCATTCCGTATCGGAGATGTGTCTACTCATATCCGAAGTCACGCCAGAATCATCTTCACTGTTATCAGCTTCCAAGGACCTCCTAGGTGTGGTTAAAATGTTAGGTTTCTCTTTCTTAATCTTATCGGAATTTCTACTCGCGTTCTGCAAAGCCCTTATCCTCTCCTTTATAGTTGGCACGTAGAAGTCCTGATTATTATTCATATCTTGCTCAGGTGGTTTTTCCTCTACCGATGAAGATCTTCGACTGCTACTAGGACTGCTATCGCTAGAGTCAGTAGAGCTCGATTCTTCATCTTCACTCGTATTTACCTCTTCCTCATCATCTTCTTCAATTTCTTCATTTACATGTTCTTCAATAATTATAACTTCATTATTCGGAACATTACTATTTTCATTAACAATTTCCTCATCAACTTCAAACTCTTCAGCAACATTCATGTCTTCATCGACGTTACTTTCCTCAGCAATATTAATCTTTTCCTCTTCTACATCTACATTATCACAAGCCTTATTTGCTTTAACGACTTTCTCACTAGTTTCCTTATTCTCAGTACATTTAGCTGTAGTAAACCTTTTGGACGTAGTCTTGGTCTCTGTTGCTTCTTCTACATACTCGACCGGTTGGAATTCACCTAATGCTAATTTAAGATTATTGGCGATGCTCTTGAAACATTCGTCCAAACCTAAACTAAATGCAGGAGGTTTCAGCGTTTGCTTGAGCTGCTCCTTTTCAAACACCAAATTGGAAATTTTGAAATCTTCCACGTGGCATTTCTCAATTTGATCTTCGCTCGCTTTAATCCCCACAGCATACTTGCGATCCTCGTGCGTCTTACTAATCACATCTAAAGTACTCTCAATATCTCCAACTTTAGCAGACGTAATTTTGCGCTCTTGCGTCGACGTCAAAACACCAGCACCAACAATAAGTTCCTCATCATCTTCGCATTGGTAACTAGTAACAACTTTTGTAACTTTCGTATTTACAACCTCATCAGCTTCACTTTCTTTGGTAATCACGGATTGGACAACATTGGTCTCCTTATTCTCAATCACTTCACTGCAATTTTCATTAGAAAAGTGCTGCGATTCGCCCATTTCCTCTTCTACCCTAATTATTTGTGCATCATCAGTACTTTCGGCTGAATAATTTGAAGTTCTGTATGCATTTCTGGGAGCATCATCATCGTTGTTGATTTGACTCCAAAAATCTATTTCTTCCTCCTCATTCTCTTCTTGCTTGACAATAATTGTTTCCTCCTCTTTGGGCGTAAATTTCAAGGTGATTGTAGTGCTAATATCATCATCTTTTTCTTCTTCGTCCTCGAATTTACAAGGTGATCGCTCTTTCGGTGTTCTAGATGGACTTCTCAGTGTGTATTCCGCTGTAAAGTCATCGACTTCAACTTGGGTAATTTCTTTGGTATCTTCACTATAAGATAATTTTAATGGTAACTTAACACTTACTACTTCCTCGTGCTCTTCATCATAATCTACTAGCGTTTCCTCGCTAAGTTCTGTAGCAACGCTGGATTCTCTAGAAAATCGTTCTGTTTCTTCAAATATTACGCTTAGAACATGTGGTATAACGTTTTCTTCTTCTGCGTAAACTGAGCAAGAATCATCTGTTGAATAGGTTTCTACATCGCCTTCATTCTCTTCATCGTAATCCGTTTGTTCTTGGACGGATTCACAATATTCACTTTCAACGACTGTGGCTTCGGATACATCATCCCTAATATCATCTTCCATTTCTTGTTCTACAATTTCAACTTTGCTATTTTCTTCTGAAGGAGTTACTGTTATCGTGGGAGTTTTACTGTAATATTCATCACAAGAGGAGTATCCTTCGTAATCGCTAGGATATGGGTAATACATCTGAGGATACCAGTATGAATAGTAGTATGGATCCCAATAATTATAGTATTGTTTGGAAGGTTGCGATTCTTCGCATTCCGAATCTGTTCCTGTTTCGTAACCGTTTTGGTAATATGGTGGATAATAGCCCCAGAAGGGTACTGGAGTTTTCCGGCAACTCGTGCAGACTTGCCGCTCGGATTCCGAGTCACTTTGCGAGTGGTAATAAGGATTTTCTTGAGGATAGTACTGAGGAGGTGGCGGAGGTGGAGGATAAGGATAGTAAGGAGGATAATCGTAACATGAGCCCCATTGCTGGGGCCTTTCGTAATTTTCGCTACAACTCTCGTCGTCCGCTACAACAAAACGAAACCTACTTACAAAAATGTTACAAAAAATATTGACAGAAAAGAAGTAAAGTAATCGATAGGGCTTTTCACTTAAAATTATTAAAATATTTTTTTAAAAAGAAATTTAATTAAATTTTTAATGGACCCATGAATGAACTGGTAATTGGATAAAACAAATATAAGATTTCATACCCAAATCAGTCATAGCTTGTACCATCCGGAAAGCCCTGCTAGGAATAGCGCTTCCAGTGTACTTCTTAGGTTCCGGCACGGTCTGTTCACTTGGATGAACATACGGTTGAGGTGCCTCATAATCTAAAATGTATTAAAATATATTAGATCTTAATATTTCTATTTTACAATCTAATTACTTTCAACTTGAACCGGGATTCTCCTAACTTTAGGTCCCTGATCGGATCCTTGAGGAACTGAAAATCGCAAGTGAATCATTTGAATAAACAAAGATAATTATCCCAAATACCTTTAGCGAGCTTGTTTTTAAAAAATATTATTGGTTAGTGCAACTAGTTTCGGTTTATACAGCTGTTAATGGTCATACCATCGTTGTTATTCTCTTGAGGGTTCTCTTGGGTCATGGCTTGGAGAAGGCGAAACGCCTTGGAGGGTATTGCGGGTCCCATGTACCTCGGATCCTCTTCGTTTCGCAAAGATTCCCCACCTAAGTGTTAATAACATCAAGAAGCAACAACTAAGAAGCAACATCAAAGCACAAAGTAAATCCCAGTTTCCACCACCGTAATATTTGAGTAATAATAGTAAATTTTTGTACCGCTTTGGTCCAAAATTCTGAAGACGCGCGACGGTATATGTCCGCCCCTGTATCTAGGATTTTCTTCGGCGAGTTTGTAATAACGTTCTGGAAATATTCACGTGATTCGGTGCATCTGAAACTCGCACACAACCTTACCTTGCTTAACCCTGTTCATGAACTCCTTGTCACCATCGTTCAATTGCATCTTCCTCATCTGCTCAGCAGGATACTGCTGAGCGGTTCTGGGCCCATGTTCCACGCCGTCGCCCACATCATCCCCATCGGTGCGAGTCATCTTTTGCAGAGCTTTGAACGAATTCGATTGAGTCGGTGTCCAGCTTTGTTGACGGTTCAGATTCCTTGTAACATAAAATACTTGAAATATACATCTTTAAGAAAGAATCTAAATTAAATACCTATCGTTGTTAGGTGTCTGTGGCTGATTGTTCTGGTTACCGCCCTCAATCTGAATTGGTATAATTCTTCCTTGTTGCTGCTGCTGTTGAACTGGAGAAGTTCTGACTTGCTGCTGTTGTTGGACTGGAGGAGTTCTAACTTGTTGTTGTACAGGAGGTGACTTCTGGCTGTACAGCTGCGGAGGCGCCGGACCACCAGGATGCTGATAAACTTCCGGTTGCGTAACCCAAACGACTTCTACGCCATCCCTTGGAGGTGGTGGTTGCTGCAAAGGCTGCTGTACCAATCTTGGTTGCACAACGATACGCGCTCCTTGCGGAGGTTGTTGTTGTTGCTGCTGCTGCTGCTGTTGCTGCTGTTGTTGTTGAATTTTCGGTGGGCTGTCACGTCTCTGAGCCCAAGCAGGAACATCTTGTTCCTGCTTCTTCTGGTTTTGCCAGGGTTTCGGTGCGGCGTTCAACTTGGGCATCGGTGGAGATTGCGGACTCGGCGAAGATTGTTGTTGTTGCTGCTGCGCAATGGGAGGGATGTAGAGTGATCCCAAATTAGCGTTGGATGTCTTTTGTTGGACAGGAGGTGGCGAAGGTTGCTTCGCTTCTTGCACCATTTGCGGTCTATTATTCTGATACGGCTGAGGCTGCGCGTTGAATTGAGCTTGTGGTGGGAACTTGGGTTGCGGATTATATTGCGGACTTTGCTGAATATACTGGGGACTTTGCTGAGTATATTGAGGACTTTGTTGGTTGTATTGGGGACTCTGTTGCATGAATTGAGGACTTTGCTGGGTGTATTGAGGACTTTGTTGATTGTATTGGGGACTTTGTTGGTTGTATTGGGGACTTTGTTGCATAAATTGAGGACTTTGCTGGGTATATTGAGGACTTTGCTGGGTATACTGGGGACTTTGTTGGTTGTATTGGGGACTTTGTTGGGTGAATTGAGGACTTTGCTGGGTGTATTGGGGACTCTGTTGAGTATACTGTGGGCTATACTGCGGTGCCCTTAGAGCAGTATCCTGGGTATACTGAGGAGACTCTTGCCTTTGCTGAGGCTGATTGTTTGTAGCCCCGTTGCTTTGGATGACGTTTGACGAATCGAAATCGTTCATTTGGTCGACAAAGGATTTCCTCTCGACCCGAGGTGTTCTCTTCAAAAGAGCCATCGGATTCTCCGGGATTATTCTCGTCATGTCTGGCCTCTCGAAGACACCATCATTGGTTGCAACTTTGGTGGTTGGGAGAGCTTGCATCGGTGGTGGTGGAGGAGGAGGATTGGCCATCGGGGGTGGTGGAGGTGGTGCTCCGCTCGGGAATACCTGAGTAGGCATCGCAGGTTGCATTGCGGCCAATGCGGAGGGCGGTAAAGGACCACAGGGATGATTAGGATTAGGGTATTTGGGCTTATCGGAAACGCCAGGAGCGTTGGCGTTTCTCTCTATCCTCCTGGCCATGCTCGGCGATTTAATTTCAGCCAGATTCAGACCTCCGGGAGTATAGGTAAAGGGTTTCTTATCTTTCGTCATCATCGCGTTCTGCACACAAAGTGGAGGCTCTGCCCTTCTGTCTCCAATCTACAAGAGAAGAATAAAATAATTAATATCTTTGTTTCGGTAGTTAAGTTCCGGTCTACTCACTTCTGACTTGAGCCTTTGCGATGGAATATTTCCGGTTAGAGGTGGTGGCGGCGGTGCCTGTGATCTGGAAAAGAAAACGAACTGCATGAGCGAAACTATTATTGAGATCAGCGTTTATTATGCTTAGCGCTTTATTAACTTTAATAAAAATGTATAGAGTGCAACAAGAGATCGGCGGATAATAACAGCGATTAATTGATGGATGGCATGCTTCTTTTATGCAAATACCAGAGTATAAATACGGCGGACGGATGCTTTCTCAAATCATTCTCAGCTTCGTTGGTAAAGCAGCAACAGCAGCAACTAGCAGCACCAACATGGGAGTATTGGTAAGAAAATTAAATATTATTTAATTTGAAATATATAATTTATAAACATTTTTTTTATTTGGTTTTCAGGCAACAGCGAGTTTGTTAGCTATTTCTTGTCTCCTTATCAATGGATACAGGATAGACTACGCAAATCCTAGCTACGTTTCTTATAATCCAAGCGAGGTGGGAGCAGAAGATGCAGCTCATAGCGCAGGTGTTGCCGCACTAAACCAAGGAGCTCTGGTACCAAGGGAGATTGTAAAGTTCACCGAATACGATGCCGTAGGTGAACCAAACAAATTCGAACAACTCTTCTCCAAATACAACGAACGATTTAACGAAGCCCCGTCCTCTGATCACCTGGAAGCACGCAACGATCTACAATTGGTGCATCAACCGCAAGTCATCGAAGATGCTCAGATCTCTGAGTCGAAGTACGCTGAAGAGACTTCCGAACATGGCGGGGAAGTCCACTATCATCAACACACCCATATGCATAAGCACGATCACAAGCAGGAGCACGTCCATCAACACAAGCAAGATCACAAGCATGCCCATGAGTCGAAACATCAGCACGGTCACAAACATCAAGGCCATCACGATCATAAGCATCAAGGACAGCATAAACATTCCCATGACCATAAGCAGGATCATAAGCACGACCATCATGGGCAGCACAAGCACGGACACGAACATAAGCACCAAGGACACCACGATCACAAGCACGATCATCACGCCGACCACAAGCACGAGCACGGACACAAGCACGATCATCATGGAGAGCATAAGCACGATCACCATGCGTCCCATAAACATGATCACCATGGAACCCACAAGCACGATCATAATGACAAACATGACCATCACAACCAACATAAGCATGATCATCACCATGGACATAAACATAACCACAAGCAAAGCCATAAGCACAACCATAAGGAGAACCATAAGCATGGACATAAACACAACCATCATCACGGACACAAGCACTCCAAACATTGAGATCGTGCTCGAGCCTAATTACTCATAATTCCTCAGAAATCATACCAAAATGATCTTGTTATTGTTATTTTAAATAAATAAATTGTTGTTGATGTTTATCTATAAAAATATTTGCCTCTTTTTAATTTACCTCATGTATGAATACAAAAATAACTGAATAATGCTAACTATAAAATAGTTTCGGAACTCCTTAAATATTCATCATAAATATATTTTTGATCGAGATATCAAAAATATAAGATTAATTTTATTATAATAAATATGCAATTCTCCATTATATTTCTTCTAAAAATATACTCCAAAATAATAATTATGAGATGCTATTACTGTTTTCATTAATGATATTTTTATCACCATGATCTAAACTTAAAATTTTAAATGATTATATGATTTATATAATACTATTTCATTAATAACTCTTAAAAATTCTTAAAAATTTAATTAAAATATATTTATTTCATTACTTAAGATTAACTTTACATCACTTTATAAATATTATAGAAATAAAATGGATTCTTAAAATAAAACTAATAAGATTTAAGTAATAATGCATCTTACATAAATTTATCCAATATTTAAATTGTTCAGGTTATGAATATGTAACCAGACTACGTATTATGGTTATGTAACGTTTATTAAACATTATACTTAATAACGATATTGTCTGAAGATATATGAATATGAATATTTAACATTTATTTAAAGTTCATTCGATAATCTGATTAAATAATTATACATGTAAACTTTTTTTGATTACTACTACAAACTGTATTTATTTATTATTAATAGTACTCCCAGATAAATAGATAAACAAATAGTGTTTTGTACTATTCAATAATTAACTTGTCAGAATAAATTTTGAAATCCATTTTAAGAAATAATTCTTTAAGCTTCAAAATCATCTGAAAAATTAAATACATTTCAGGTATCATGATATCCATTTCCAGAAATTTGTGTGAAAGTGAATAATTTGAGATTCTCCAAGTTGATTAAGTAATTGTAATTACAAAGATTACATGTCTAAAAAAAAATGGAAATTTTAAATTGGTTCTTCATCAGCAACAGTTGTGGAGATAGTAACGGTTATTAATTTATACTGGCACGCTTCTTGTATGCAAATTATTGAGTATAAATACAACGGGCAGCTCGTTAGTAAATCATTCTCAGCTTCGTTGGTAAAGCAGCAACAACAAGCATCAAGCATCACCAACATGGGAGTATTGGTAAGATATTAGTATTGAAGTTTAAACGAATTGTAATTTGGATGTCTTTCTGTCTATTTTCTTATAGGTAACTGCGAGTTTGTTAGCTATTTCTTGTCTCCTTGTCGATGCGTACAGGATAGACTACGCCAATCCTAGCTACCTATCATACAATCCGACCGAGGTAGATGAAGAGTATGGAGCTCATAGCGCAGATGCTCAGATCGACGAAGCTCCGGTGCCCAGAGAAATAATAAGGTTTACCGAAGAGGATGCCGTCGGACCATCGAAATTTGACAGGCTTTTCTCGAAATACGAAGAACGATTCAACGAATCTCCAACATCTGCCGATTATCTGGAATCTCGCAACGATCTTCAATTGGAGCCGCAGGTCATCGAAGACGCTCAGATCTCCGAGTCGAAGTACGCTGAAGAGACTTCAGAGCACGGTGGAGAGGTTCATTACCATCAACATACCCATATGCACAAGCACGCACATAAACAGGAGCACGTCCATAAACACAAACAAGATCACAAGCACGCCCACGATTCGAAGCACGATCATGGTCATAAACATGAAGGACATCACGACCATAAGCATCAAGGACAACATCAACACGCTCATTCTCATAAGCAGGAACACAAGCATGGTCACGTCGGGGAACATAAGCACGGCCACGAACACAAGCAACAACATCAGCATAATCACAAGCACGACCATCAAGGTGCTCACAAGCACGAGCATGGACATAAGCACGACCACATCGGGGAACACAAGCATGATCACCATGGCGCTCACAAGCACGATCATCATGGAACCCATACACATGGTCACCATGCCACTCACGATCATCACAACCAACACAAACATGACCATCAACATGGTCACAAGCACAGCCACAAGCAGGACCACAAACACAGCCACAAGGAAATGCACAACGATGAGCACAAGCACAACCACCATCACAGCCATAAGCACTCCAAGCATTGATGCCGTGCTCGAATCTGGTCTTGACCACATAAGTCATACCAAAATGATCTTGTTATTGTTATTTGTTTAAATATTATTAAATAAATTGTTATTGATGTTTATATAAAAAAATGCATTTTCAATTTTATTTCCCTTAGATTATATACTATATAATGGTTGTAATGTTACTTCTACTAGACAACGTATTGATTAACCATATTAGCTGAAAATATATAAATAAGGATTTTCTTAATTATTCAAATCTTATTTGATAAATTGAATGAAATCTAATTAAATAATTATAATAAAATATTTGTAAATATTCTTTAATAATTTAAAATATATACTAATAAGTAACATTATTGGATATATGTTTACATACATAATTGGACTAATTAAAATTCTGATAGAGACGACCTTGCAGTCTTATTTATTAGTCACTTCAGGCCCAGTGTTTAGGAGCCTCAAGAATGTTTAAGCCCACAAATGTTTTTTGAAAATGGGTTTCAGGAATAATTTTGTTAAGTTTCAATGGAAGTGAGTCCTGGGCGTACGAAGTCTGGTATACGACAACCTAACTGCAGCCATACTCATATGTATTTATTAAATTATGCTTAAATAGATAAACAAATTGAGTTCCTTTGATATTTACTAGATATATTTTTTAATAATTATCTTTCCTGGCGACAGACTAATATACTTTTTTAATTGGTATTTCTTAGCGCTGACAAATTATTTAATGAATTAAAAACAATTTCACTGACTGAAGTATTTGTAATCAGATTCCAGAAAACTGAAAAGAAATAATAATAAATAATTTGATAATTTCCAAATTAATCAAGTAATTGTAATTACTTACATATAGTCTAATTTTGAAAGTACCGATGTATTACCGTGCGATGCAAGACTATTATAAATATGTATTTTTTTTATAATTAATAAACAAATCAGAAATTACTTGCATAGCTTACATGTTTGAAAAAATGCAAATTTTTAAATTGGATTCAGTTCTTCATCGGTACCACTTGTGGAGATAGTAACGACTATTAATTAATAATGGCACGCTTCTTTTATGCAAATTCTAGAGTATATATACCACGGACAGCTCGTTCGAAAATCATTCTCAGCTTCGTTGGTAAAGCAGCAACAACAAGCATCAAGCATCACCAACATGGGAGTATTGGTAAGATATTATTATTGAAGTTTAATCGTATCTTAATTTAGATGTCTTTCTGTCTACTTTCATATAGGTAACTGCGAGTTTGTTAGCTATATCTTGTCTCCTTGTCGATGCGTACAGGATAGACTATGCTAATCCTAGCTACCTGTCATTCAATCCGATCGAAGTAGATGAAGAGGATGGAGCTCATAGCGCAGATGCTCAGATCGACGAAGCTCCGGTGCCCAGAGACATGATAAGGTTCACCGAAGAAGATGCTGTCGAACCTTCGAAATTCGACAGGCTTTTCTCGAAATACGAAGAACGATTCAACGAATCCCCATCATCCCCCCGTTATCTGGAATCTCACAACGATCTTCAATTGGAGCCGCAGGTCATCGAAGACGCTCAGATCTCCGAGTCGAAGTACGATGAAGAGACTTCAGAGCACGGTGCGGAGGTTCATTACCATCAACATAGCCATATGCACAAGCACGCCCATAAACAGGAGCACGTCCATAAACACAAACAAGATCATAAGCATGCCCACGATTCGAAGCACGAGCATGGTCATAAACACGAAGGACACCACGACCATAAGCATCAAGGGCAACATCAACACGCTCATTCTCATAAGCAAGAACACAAGCATGGTCACCATGGCGAACATAAGCACGGCCACGAACACAAGCATCAACATCAGCAGAACCACAAGCACGACCATCAAGGTGCTCACAAGCACGAGCATGGACATAAGCACGACCACATCGGGGAGCATAAGCACGATCACCATGGATCCCACAAGCACGATCATCATGGAACCCATCAACATGGTCACCATGCCACTCACGATCATCACAACCAACACAAACATGACCATAACCACGGTCACAAGCACAGCCACAAACAGGACCACAAACACAGCCACAAGGAAGTCCATAAAGATGGACACAAGCACAACCATCATCACAGTCATAAACACTCCAAGCATTGATGTCGTGCTCAAATGTGGTCATGACCATAAAAATCATACCAAAATGATCTTGTTATTTGTTTACTATTATTAAATAAATTGTTATTGATGTTTATATAAAAAAAAACATTTTGATCTTATTACCCTTATAAAATGCAATCGCTCATAAAAAAAAGTATAAATCTATACACAAAATTAAACATTTTGAATCATTGATGTATAAGAATCATAGCATCAATTTTAATTCTGTTTAAAACATTCAAAAAACTATTAAGATAGATTTATTTAACATGTCAATGACATTAGACAAACATTCAAAATTCGATCAATCTATTTCACAAATATCTTCTATGAAAATAATCATCTACATAACTTCTGACCTAATTACACTAAAAATAAATCCAAAGCTTTTTTTCTACAGCAAATCAATCTTCCGGCTTTATTTATAATCTCTATTTAAATATATAATTAAACAGATATAAATAACTTATAAAACGTTTAAAAACTATCCTCAAGTTAAAAAATGAGGTTATCCATTAAAAAAAGTGACATGTGATTGACGTTTTGTGGACACTGAATCTTAGTAAAAAAAGTCTTGTAAAAATATACTAACAATACATAATCTTATAAGTAATTATATTAATTGACAAATGTCAATCTGTATTTGTATATGTAATGAAATTATAAATTAGAGCATTTCTTTATTATTACATAATTTCCAATTAAAGTTTAT